ATACAGGCAGTTGTAGGGGTCTAAAACGCTCTGCCCTAAAAAATGCAGATATTCTTCAGCAGTTATTCTTCAAGTTCTCATCCTCTGCTCACGTGCACATGGGTTGTCTCCGGGCTCTCCGGCTTCCTCCCTTCATCCAGAGACATGCTGGCTAAGTAAATTGCTTTCCCCCTCTTGATCTCTGGCCCTGCCTCGTGCACTCTGCTCCCAGGTCACTGTAACCCTCACCAGGAACAAGTGCTTTTTCAATCATCAAATTGGGCGATTCTATCTTTTCGAGGCAGACATTATCGTGTGAAAAGGGCTGGAGTTTAGGGGGATCTGTAATGTTAATCTTGGCTGTTAAAGTTCAAAGCAGAATAAGCTAAAGCCATCCAGGAGGTTATTGCTCTTTTCCAGTCCCTGGTCTTCAGTGCTGTATCCTTGAAGTATCTGAATAGGCAGTTCTGTTGTACCTCTCTTCTGTTGTTTTGTCACTAATGATTCTTGAAGTCCCCTCCAGGCATGATGTTCTCTTGTCATTTTTTGTCTGTTAATTCCTGTCGTGGTCCTCCTACTGTCTGCTATAATTTCCACTTCCTCCACCCTCTCCTGTGGTGCAATCCTGGCCCTGCTGCACACCCCAAGTCAAAAGAAGTAAGTCTTCTTCATCTTCCATACAAACACAACACAACTGATTGTGAATGACCTTAGCCTCTTAATTACTGGAGTTACCTTGTGTACTGTGCTTTTTGACTTGCAACGCAAAAAAATTCAGACTTTTTAAAATGCCGGTGTTTATTTCTTTACAAATGGTGCTAACAGTCCTGCTTGCATGTCCTGAATGTTCGATATTCGGCATGCAGTAGATTCACTGGCCATGCGCGTTGTGCCTCTCAATTGATTCGTCGAGCCCTTCAGATTTGGGGAAATGCTTGGAATTTGTCCTACAGTAAATGACCTATGAACTGGTTGGTCAATGCAGCACAAGATTAGGCCATTAAAAAAAGGAAACTGCATGGAAGCAAGTCACTTGCAAGACCAAGGCAGATAGTTAGCTGGAAAGCACTACTATTTCATCTGTAAAAACCATCAACTAGCAGAAAGAATTGAATTTATATTCTCAGCCCACAGTTCTGAATCCTACGTTTATTTTTTTATTAGTGTTCCTTCTCAGTTTTGAATCAGCTAAATATTCTGTATCATCCATTCCCTCTGGTCCTGTTATACCAGATATAAACCACGGATATAGATCCCTCCTACGGCGTGCAGGATCATGCCTGCCGTGGTCAGCATGTGGAATTGCTCATCAGCCTAAACAGACCTCACCTCTGGAAACACATCACAATACAAAATTCACCCAGAATTTGTATTTGGAAAATAATCCCATTGTATTATTTTTCTCTCTTATTTTTACTTTACGCGTGCACTTTGAATTTGTGTATCAGTCCTGCAGACCCTGAGGCGTTGGCATTTAAGACACCTTCTCTTCACTTGTCAGCTGGAGGCCAGACACTATTGTGCGTGGTATCACAGTATCACAGTGGGCCGAGCTAGTCAGTGACAGTGGGGGCACACAAGCACCCCTGCACCATCAGCCTACCATGCGCAATGCCACTGGGACACCTAGCCCCAGACAAGGATTGGCACAGTCCTCTTTTAACCTCTGACCCCTATTAGCCAATCCCTGACCTCAGCAAAGGGTTTAACCGAAAAATGTTTCGTACTTTTTTTACTTCCATCTTAATTTTTCTCCACGGTGTATGGTATCTCAAGATGGCATCGTGTTTGAATTATGCAGCTGCATAAATCCTGCAAGAACCCATGTTCAGTACGTCTGATTGACTAAAGGTGTTAGCCAAGTAAATGAATACACAGTACGTTAATGAAACAATACTCAGGATCATTAACGGGCTGGTGCACTTCGCAGGTACATCTTTGAACACAAGGGCACCCAGCGCATCTTGATCATCAATAACTGCACCCTGGCCGACGATGCTGCCTACCAGGTGGCAGCCGGAGATGAGAAATGTACCACTGAGCTGTTTGTGAGAGGTACACAAACCCTTCTGACTGCGCAGCTGCCCCAGCCCAGGGAGAAAGGAGTGGAAAGTCATACGATTCTGCAGGCGGGGCAGGCAAACAATTCAGAGGCTGTAACTGTACTCAAAACATCTTTGTAGAATTAAAAAAGAAGAGTAATACTGTATGTTGAACAGAACCCTAGAGATTGTCAGCGAATCCTCTTCAGGAAAAAAACGATTTTATTGCTTAAAATGTACAATATTACATCTTGTCATGATGTCACGGCATCTTCCTCCTTCTTCCACAGAGTTGCCAGTTACGATAACGAAAGAGCTGGAAGACGTGAACACCACCGTCAACGAGAGAATCGAGCTGGAGTGCGAGGTGTCCGAGGACGATGCCCAAGTGAAGTGGTACGGATCGCCTTTCCCTCAAGATGCTTTCCGCCACCTTAGAAACGCTCCCGTTGAGTCAAGGCGCAGAACTGGGCACGCCTTGGTCAGTCCGTCCCGTTTCATTTCCCACAGGTTTAAAAACGGAGAGGAGATCCCGAGAGCCATCCGCTCGAGGTTCCGGTTCAAGAGCGAGGGGATGAAGCACATCCTCATCATCGACGACGCGATGAGGGAGGACAGCGGAGTCTATACGGCGATGACAACAGGAGGAAAGTCAGAAGCCAAGGTCAAGGTTGACCGTATGTATTGCCCGCTACGCACTGTGTCATGCCTCTCCGCGGCGATTCAACCTGAGTGACAGATCTGGGAAATCGGGCGGTCTTCTGGAGTTTATTCCAGCCCAGGTCTTTCATCAACTCTGCACGTTCATCCGCTTGCTTGTTATGCTACTACTGCTGCACCTGCCTCTTAAATGCCAAAAAAAAAAACATCTTCAAGTGTATTGTTTCTAATAACGTCAGAAGACAGAACTTTCGGAAAGTGCTCCTCAATTCGCTTTTAAAATTCGCTCCATTAATGCTGCCTGAGCAGCTCTCAGTAGGTGATCCTTCTGGGCTGAACTGACACAGGTGGGAATGTTAATGTAACAAACACTCCCACTCTGAGCATTTCATTCCCATCTCCGGGGCTCCCATTGGTTACAATTCAGATAACACACCTTAATCAGCTGACTTGATGTCTGAACCTTAGAAGTCATTGCAGAGCTGATACCAGTTACAGATCCCAATCAACCTCTTTTTATGAGCTGCAAGCTTTAATCCATGCCAACCATGCAGAATAATAACTGAAATCAATTAGTATGTGATTAAGATCCCAGCTAGTACCCAAAACCAGAAATCACAGCAATTCCTCGGGACCAGTGATGGGGACCCATATCTTGGCTGACGGGGCACTCATCAAGAGCAGCTCTACCGCAGGTTTTATACTGAGGGTTTCTTTAAATCTCCAGCTTCTGAAGAACAAGGGAAGGCTTCATCATGTCCAGTTAAGCAAATAATGAGTTCAATCAGGTGATTAAGGGCTCTGGTGAAAAGAATACAGAGGACCCTTCTGTTCCTCCAGAGCTGGATTTTCACATGCCTCCTCTTCATTCTGTGCAACATGTAGTCCATTCTCGAGCACTGCAGGTGTGCAGCTGTGAATGCTGATGAGTTTATCACGTAGAAACTGCTTAAAAAATACAAATAGGAATACATACAAAAAATTCCATAAATGGTTAGGATTTTATTTCAGACTTAGAATCCACTGTTTAGAGCCCGAAATGTATCACTTGTTGCTGTTCTCACTGCGCTTGTGTTCCATCTCCTGCCAATGTTGCTTTAGTCAAACCCCTGAAGATCATACAGGACTTAACTGACCAAACGATCAGACTGGGAAGGCCACTAGCACTGCACTGTGAGATATCTCCTGGAAACGTGCCGGGAAAGTGGTACAAGAACGGTCAGCTCATCCAAGGAGGAGACCGCATCAACATCATCCACAGAGCAAGGTACGGTGTGAAATCTGATGACCCACAACCTGGCACACAAGGCCTCCCTCTCACTACAGTGGTAGCTCTGTTTGCCTGCTGTCCTTGCTCCCTGTATGGGGTAGCTGTTTGACTTAAATAGCACTCCCCATATGCGGGGTCAAAGTCATACTGGATGCATAAGGTGAAACTACTGAGAAAGAGAGGAGTTTATTCGCCGTACTTTACAGTATGTACATGTACATCAGGATTGATATTCAAGCTGTTCTTTCGGGACTTGCAGAGTACAATAGACAACAGTTTCACACAATGTGCACAGTACTTTACAAAACAGTAAGTAATTATTATAAATAATGATAGTTAAAACAGTAAATAGTACTAATAATTATAATTATATTACAACAAAGCACAATAACATACAATGTGTAGTATGGAAAAATAAACACACAGGACTACAAGTATGTGGTAGCTAAGTCAAAAGTTCAGAGTGCAGAGGTGCGTTGAATTCTAAGGAATTGCACAGTCAGGATGTTAAGGATGTGCAGGGCTGTAGGGCGGAAGCTGTTCTTGAGCCCAGTGGTCTGTGCTTTCATAGCGCGGCTCCGCTTGCCAGAGCACAAGGGGAAGAGCAGTTTGTGAAAGCGGATGGTGTGGATCTCATCTATTGATGGAAAGTCCGATTTTATCATTCTCTGTGGCCTTCCATTACTGGAACTATGGGGGGAAATGCTAATATGCACATTTTACTTTTCTGCTGAAACAACTAATGTTTCAGACTTCCACCCTCTGATGAGTCATTTGAACCAAGCTGTACTTAAGGAACTGTAAGTTACCTCACAAATACAAATAGAATGGCCAAGAGTTTGGTGTAAAATCATGCTTTTAATGTATATAACATCATATGACTTACTGTTTATTTGCACAATATATTGTACAGTGCAAGGTTTCATGTGATATGGAATTTGTGACGTTTTTTGTTTTGCTTTTAAAACACTGCATCAGAGTCGTGTTTTCTTCATAGGAATCACAGGCTAGAGATCACTAGCACAACTGTGGATGATGAGGGAGACTACACCTTTGTTCCAGAGGGATACTCCACAAGTCTGAATGCCAGGGTTCATGTCATAGGTACGTGCCATTCACACTGTGGATGAACTTACAAGATCTGCGGGAATGTTTTCATACTCCCGTCAATTCATTTTCTCCCAAACGGAATACCTGCTGTCCTTCCTGAGACCACAGCACCTTGTTTTAAATGCACTTGCACCTATACAAACATTTAAACAAAGATTTTACATACGAGAGGAGGTCATTTGGCCTGTGTGGCGGATTGTAACGAATTGATTCGAGGGCCTCACCCAGCTGTTTCTTGAAGGAAGCCAGGACACTGGTTTCAACAACGTGGCAGGGGAGTTTGTCCTATAGTTCCACAACTGTTCATCTCAAAAGGCTCTGCTACACTGAAATATTTTGCAACCGAATTCAATCAAAGGTTCAGTTATGAAGATATATAGCTCAATAAAACACACTTATTTTCTGAGGACCAGGACTGATCAAATGCAAGCCAACAGAGAATTTCCTGGGGGTTTGCTGAAAAAAACAAATATCTAGTTTGACAGCTCACCATCTACACTACTAACACTGAAATACATGCTAACACCTTTCCCCCAGTCTGCAAATTCACCACTTGCCAAAGCCACGGCCCCACGGTGGGAACACACCAGACTTCTGATTCATCACCAGCAGAGTCAGGGGCCAGACAGGCAGCCCCTACCACTCTTCTTCCAGCAGAGTCAGGGAAGCAGGCCGGCTGTCTCTCCTGCTCTCTGGTCTCAGGCATTCAGGAGAGTCAGGAGCCCGACAGGCAGCTCCTCCCACTCTCCTTCCAGCAGAGCCCAGAGCTGGTCAATCTGCTTCTCCTACTCCTCCTACACTGGACAAATGCACTTGAACTATACTAGTAACACGTCTTATGTAAACCTTCCAAGACCACTGATACTCAACTTAGAACACTTTCTTCCCCTATACAATAACACCTCACCTTGTACTCTCACCTGGGCTCGTCACATCCACACAGCGGCGGTCTGACAGGGAACTCGGGAATGTGCTCTGCACGTACGGCACCACCGCGTGACACACACTGGACCCAGAAGCAGATTCCCTTGCTGGGGTCTGCCTGTGCTGTTAGACCCCCCTCCAGGATCCTAGCCTCCCAGGGAAGACGACATGGTCCTTCCCACCTTCTGACCCTCCCTCTGTCCATTCTCCCTCCACAAGCACACACACCAG